TTGTATCGATTTTTCATCTTGTCAATACAAATAAAATGTTTTTTGAATTATTAAAATCGGACGCTCCGTTCTCTTAAAAACTGAGTTACCGTTTTTGGAACTTTTTGCCCCGTATCTTCGGAACGGCTTGACCTGCCTTTGCCAAAAACTAATCAGCACGTCTCCTTATCAATACGGATCGAATGTTTTTTGAATTATTCAAATCGGTTGATCCGTGTTCCCGAAATCGTCGGCGAAAATTTGTATCCGCACATACATACACACACATACATACATACATACACACACATACACACACACACACACACACACATACATCCATTTTTTCTAAGTATGCCAAAATATTCAGAAACCTCTGAAACGTAAAGATATATAAAAATTTTCATTTTCGATTTTTTTGCGATTACTATAACTTGCCCTACGGGAAGTTAAAAAGAAATTGAAGACGGGGATAAGGTTCATCAATCGAACATCCTAAAATATTTATTGAACTAGCTGTAAGTGGAATTCTGTCTTAAGGCAATTAGGGCATCGTGCCTTAAGGCAAATTGCTGGAACTTCCCGTACCAAAAATTATTATTTTTTTTTTAAACGATTAACATTTTTGAAAAGAATTACTTTGAAAAAATAAGATTTTTGAGAAACTATAAATTGGACAAAAAATTAGTTTTTTTTTGAAAAAAAAGAATTTAAAAAAAAATAATTTTTTTTTTGAAAAAACATTTTTTTTTCTTTATTTTGACATATTGTGGAAGATCTGAACTTTTTTTTCAAAGCAATCGTACTGCTTTAACTACATAGGGACAAAATATAAAGCGCGTAAGCGCCGCGTCGCTGTCTAACGCATAAGCATTGGTACGGAACCGATAGGAATGTTAACAAAATGTATACTTATTGTTAAAATCTCTATAAAATGTCTGATAATTTGATGTGCATATGTCTAATGATCATTTTTGACCGCCAAATGGCTCATTTTTTTACTTTTTCCTCTATATCTCCGAAACCGCTGCACCTACCTTCATGAAAGTTGTATCGATTTTTCATCTTGTCAATACAAATAAAATGTTTTTTGAATTATTAAAATCGGACGCTCCGTTCTCTTAAAAACTGAGTTACCGTTTTTGGAACTTTTTGCCCCGTATCTTCGGAACGGCTTGACCTGCCTTTGCCAAAAACTAATCAGCACGTCTCCTTATCAATACGGATCGAATGTTTTTTGAATTATTCAAATCGGTTGATCCGTGTTCCCGAAATCGTCGGCGAAAATTTGTATCCGCACATACATACACACACATACATACATACATACACACACACACATACACACACACACACACACACACATACATCCATTTTTTCTAAGGTATGCCAAAATGTTCAGAAACCTCTGAAACGTAAAGATATATAAAAATTTTCATTTTCGATTTTTTTGCGATTACTATAACTTGCCCTACGGGAAGTTAAAAATGTAATTAAATATTTAATTTATTATAAAAATTTATTAAAATCAGGGCAACTTTTAAGCTATACAAGCACGTGTTTGTGTTCTTAGTTTTATCTTAATGGAAAAAAAGAAATGCCACACATTTCTTTTAGATCACTTTAAACACAATTCAATATATTCAATCATATTATTAATTATACAAAATGGATTTAAATTATGAGAAAACGGCACAAATATTTGAGTATTTATCATTGGATAAAATGGTTATTCCTATTAATGAATTAGTGATAAAAAATTTAATAGAATGGGAAAACATCAAAATAAATGTATATTTCATACCAATACGTAATACTAACATTATTGCAGGACTTGTCCTGCAGTCAATGAATTATTTATGGAACAAATAGATACAGTCATGATACAGTCAAATATCTAGGTTTACACCTGAATAAAAGACTAACTTAGAAGAGCACATTTAGAAAAAGAGATAACAGCTTGAAGAGGTAAGGATAAGATATTATTGGCTCTTCGGTAAGTAATTAAAACTGGACACACATAATTAAATTACTTACCTATATAAAGCCATACTTCCAACACATACGCTTTAATAATTCAGAGATTCTAATATAAACTATTAAAAGAAATTTTGAAAGCACCGAAGAATGATTCAAAATCGGTTAATACACAAGCATTAAGCTCAGTCAAGGATGAAATAATTGCTTTTTCACATAAATATTAAAATCGTACACTTGCTCGCTAGAAAACTTCACAACAACTCTACCAGGACCAGGTTGAAAAGGAAATTTCTTCTGCATCAATCAACAATAAATAAGATCTTCGACAATAACTGCTGATCAGTCAGATGATTTGTATTTTTCCAACGCCTACTGTTTTATATCAATTTTTTTACTCGTTTTATTTTAAATATTCTTCTCGTCCGTTTCGAGGCAGTTGTAAAAATAATTATCTAATAAAAATAACTATATTCATAATTAAACAAGTATTATATTCGTATAAGTATATAATAATCTACTAATATATATAAAAATAAGTCGGTTTTTCCTTCCTGACGATATAACTCAAGAACGCACGAACCGATTTCGACAATTTTGCATTCGTCTCGGGCTTCGCAAGGAAAATAGCTAAGAATTAAGAATTGGTGGTGCATCGTGCCTTAATGAAAATTGCTGGAACTTCACGCACTGTAATTACATTCGAGTAATCACATTAGTGAGAATTATCAGAATTGTGCTTGGTTAGGTCAACGAGCAATTCTTGCCGCAAATAATAATGATGTACAAGCACTGAATTTCACCATTCAATCCAAAATTTCTGGCGATTTAGTGACATACCAATACCAATGATTCCGACTGGTCTTATGTTTGACTTCAAACGATTGCAATTCCCAGTTCGCTTTGCGTTCGCAATGACAATTAACATGTCTCAAGGCCAATCGCATAGTGTTTGGGGAATAAATTTCAAATAGATTATTTAGAAAATCATTGATTTTCATATGGGCTGTTATACGTTTCCTGTTCACGTGTTGGGAAACCATCCGCTTTGTTTGTGTTAACGTCAGACCAAAAAACAAAAAAATGTGGTTTACCAAACATTTACTATTCAGTTTCATTTACTTAGAGAAGTTCAACTAAAAAATATTCCATTTTTGTAATCGAAATAAATTCATTACTGTTGTGTAATAAAATCAAAATTTTCCTTTTCAAATATAAAACAAACAAAAAATTTTTCATCTTTCTCACGAAACCGTCTGGTGGCGAAACGGAGTTCGTCGGGTTTGCTAGTAATCATAGATAAGTAAACATAAATAGTTCGCTATCTCAGTCCGTTTGACATTACAGTATATTTAGTATATAAATCAACTGCTGGTATTATTCCTATATATGGTTCGCATACGTAATTCAAAATAAGAAAACCTAAATAATTTCTTATATTAGAAATGAGAAAAAAACATACGAAGTACAAAATATATTTTCAAATATATCGCAAACATTTTTACATAACAATTAAAATTTTCATAAATGTAATAATCAATATATACATAATAATAAGTATTATAATTTTACAATTAAATTATAATTACAATTAATGTGCCGACATCATAGACCTTATACAAGGCATGGACTGCTAGTCCCCATACATTTCTCAGGTACAAAAGTGTCAAAAGATGTTCTATGGTATGAGGGCATATGAGGGTAATTTAGCGGCCGAGTTATGTCAAACTCGATCGCTTAAACGTCAAATGAAAGTCCGTGTGTTCGAAATTGTTGGGCAAATATTATATAATATACAATTTATGTTGAACTAATGAATGCAATGAACCTTTTATTTATTTATTTATTTTAGTTATACAAAGTGTTTAAGGGGCTAGAGGTACTTGGAATTTTTGAAAAATCGATTTTTATTTTTTTTCATTTTCATTAAGTGTAATATCTTGAAAATGTTCTCTGAAAATTTCAAGTTGATCCGATGATTACTTTTTGAGTTATTGGACTCTTACCAGCACGTTGACGCAAGTGGAGAGCTCGATACTTATACTCAAGATTATTCTCCCTCACCTCCTGATGTTTTAAAAGATTTTAAACCGATTTACGATGATATTTTACTTTCAAGATGTGTAGTTCAAGATTGAATCCATAATCAGAAAAAATTGAAAGCTTCAACCAACTAGTGTAAAAAATATGCCTAAAAACCGTGATAACTAGTTTTACCATCGTACAAATTGCTAATTGCATATATATATCATTATTATTCATTTATACCCTAATTGTGGGTATAATTGCCATTGGTATGCTGAAAAATTGGATGCTGCACGTGTGACCCAGTAAACCACAGAAGTTACCACCACGTAACTCATTTTGTAACTTTCGTTTCGAAACTGATGTTAAGTAAAAAAAACCGATGCTGTTACGTATAGTTTGCGACCCTTTAACCACGTCGACGCGTTTCTGTCGGTACGTGGCGTGTTACGTTGCATTGTCACATAGATTAGCCTTTGAAAAGCCGTGAAGTGTTTTATGATCGAAATGTCAAATTAAATATAGGTTAACTCGGTTAGTGCATCGTGGACGCATAATTGAGTATTTTATCGTGTATGTTTGAAATGCAAGATATTTCCTTTATTGAAGCGTTATTATTAATTGCTTTTATATTTAGTGCGAAATCAGTTGTAGAAATTAGTTAAACAGTCAGCTGCAAAAGTATTTAATATGAAACCGGCAAATAAGGCGAGTCTAATTGTACTGAAACATATTTTAATTTATAAATTATTATAATAATGTTTAGTCATTTGCAGTATATAGGCCGCCTTCAATGCAAAGTCTGTTCATGTATTGTGATAATTGATTTGTCATGTAATAATTGAAATTTCTAACACACCAGTCAGAAACATAACCTCAATTCAGTGATATATGAATAAAGAGAATTAAGTTATATAGTTTTATACATATTCATTTTTTATAGTTTTATTAGTATCAGAACTATTTAGCTAAGCACAAACTGATATAAGTTGGTTTTCAATTGTAGAGAAAATTACAGTGCTGATAACCCCTACGAAAATGGATTTCAAACTAGGGAAATTTTCTCCAATAGAGAAGATAAATACAAAGTTAGATAATATATTAGAAATTATTAATCCTTTGTCACCCAAAAAAACAAGCAAGGCTTGAAAACATGCGAGAAGAAAAATAAGAACACATATCGATAAATAAGAACACATATTAAGATTAAGTGTTGAAAAGAAAATGAATTGTGGAGCATTTCTTAAGTGATGATATTGTATTACAGAATAGGTATATTAATGTTTTAACAAAGAGAATTTTAACTAATATGATTTAGTACTAATTTGTAATGTTTTACTTTTAGGAAATTAACATATTTAATACGAAACCAGCAAAGGTGAGTATAATTGCACTGTTTTTTTTTTAATTTACAATTATTATATTAATGACTAATTAGTTATTTTCAGTATATAGGTCATGTGCAATGCAAATTCTGTTTATGTATTGTGATAATTGATTTATCACATAATTATTGAAATTTCTGACAGACCAGTCAAAAATCACATAACCTCAATTCAGTGATATGATATGAATATTATAGGTAGATAAGTGTAATATATATGGTATCATACATATTCTTTATAATTTCATTAGTATCAGAACTATTCAGTTAAGCAAAAACTGATATAAATTGCTTTTCAATTGTAGAGAAAGAGTGCTCATAACCCCTATGGGTTATGTCAAAATGGAATTCAAACTAGGGAAATTTGCTCTAATCAAGAAGATAAATTGTCACCAAAGAAACAAGCAAGACTTAAAAACATTCAAGAAGGAAAACAAAGAATGCACCGGATATCACACATTATATGGATTAAGTGTTGAAGAGAACATGAATTGTTGAGTATTTCGAGCCAGATGAACTTGCATTACAGAATTGGTATATTAAGGTTCTACATGAAGAGAATTTTAACTAATATGATTTAGTACTAATTGTAGTGTTTTACTTTTAGGTAATTCAGATCTTGAAAATTAATAGGATAAAATCAATGCAAGAAAATTGAGTGTGTGTTCATGGAATAATTATCTCTGTCATATGATCGTAGGAACTACATAGTCATTAAGTTCAAATAATGAGTATGTTTAGAGGTAATGTTCACAAATGACTAATTTGTTCGCAATGTTTTCAATTCAAAATTTGTGTACAATGTTTCTAAGATGTTTGGTTCTATTTAGATACATTAACAGATGCAAGTGAGTTGAACATATTTAACGCAAGACTTAACTTTGCCAAGTCTGATTTAACTGAAGTTGCCAAGAGAGTTAAACATAATACATATTATGAATAAATAATTAATTATTTTTATAGGCTAACATTTTATGGACTATCAAATTTTAGTTTTCTAATGTTAACTATGTAATATGTAAATTATGTATATTGTAAATGATAATATTTAATAAAATTACTAAATATCCGAAATTATTATTAATATTCTATATTTGCAGGAAATTTAATTAAATAAGTATGTAACATAAAAGACACCTACACCACGCTTTTTTATTCAATTTAGATACGTAGCAAAAATGTAACCGCGGTGTATTAGTGTGCAACGAAACAGCCGTTACGTTCTTGCCCGCGAAATAGATGCTTCTGTGTGCCTCCCAGGTTACGTACCTGATTCGTGCGGACGTGCCAGCGTTACGTAACGTTCATGGCTTTGTTACGTTTTGTGGTTTACTGGGGAAAGTGGCAGATCAGCGCGCCAACGAGAACAATCGGGAGGGCGGAATGCTTCGTAGGCAACAGCAATGTAAATTTCGGAAACTTGCACAATGACTGATGTACAAGTTTCCGAAATTTACATTTGACTCGGTTTAAGTAATTCAATAATTCGAATTTCTGTACGTAAATCTAATGTAAAACTTTAAACGCGTTTTTCTCAAAACTATGTTTTTTGAACCGGTGACCACTGTAACTCAAAAACCGCTTAGTAAATTTTAATGAAATTTATACAGCTTTTTATAATACATAATAAACTCGGGCCTGATCAAAGAATTTTTATTTTTTCAAAAATTTCAAATTTTTAAGTCCAATTAACTGTTGATTTTTTATCCAAAAATCTAAAATTTTTATTTCTGATGCTACCATTTTGTTATTTCTTTCAAAAAAAGGAAACTTTCGATCAGGCCCAGGATTATCTATTTTTAAAACTATTTTTTATTTGATTGAATTCAGATGAATCTCTAAGAAGTTATGATGGTCACCGCCAGGACCGTTTTTGAAACAGGGTCAACAAAAACAGCTATAACTTTGGGAATATTAATGTTTTTTTCTGAAATTTTTGTTTCAAGTCAAAACATTGTATAATGATGCCGTATTGATATTAGTAAAAAAACATCGTTTAATAACCAAAAAACAATACTCAAAAATCTCATTTTTTCGTACCTCCAAGTACCCCTAACCCTTAAAGGAAATTAAAAAATTAAATATATATTTTACACATTATAAAATTCACTGAAAATAAGAACAGTTGGCTAGAGCTATTATGGGTAATTAAAAGAAATAATGAAATATCTGTTTAAATGTAATATATTTATTATTGGTGTTCAAAAAAGCACAATTTTCGTGTGAAAGTGGCGTACATATTTATCAACTTTGCTTTTTTTATGTTCTTCATGGTGCATTCTAATTGTTAAGTACATTTTTTGCGACAAAGTTGATAAGGCCATGATAATGCTGGACAAATTGCTGGAAATGGCTTGATCTAACAAGATGTGCAAGTCCCAAGTCATTCAACTTTCGGAGAATCATGCTTTTATGTGAACTTTTGTACATTAAATTTAAAGAATTTCGAATTAGGCTTTCTATATATAAACATAAATTAAACATTTCATCGGAAGGATATGAAAGATATCCTCGATTTTTCATATCGATCAATGTCGAATTTCCCGGTTCTCCTACAATACTTGCGAAGCATTCAGAACAGGTTTACTCCAGCAACATTATTTAAATTTTCGGACAATAAAACCCGAAATGTACTTCACGGCTTCTTCGACGAACTGCGACGATATTTCAAAATTAAAATCAAAAGTTCATATTCTTGAAATTCTTCATCTTCATAATTATCGTCCGACTTCAGATTTTCCGAATTATTTGCACTTCCAACCGTCAAATCGGAATTTTATCCGAGAACAATTTCCTTTATCGGAAACGATTATTTCTTGATGGCAAGTCAAACGACGCATTGCATAAATGAATTGATAGCAAGTTAGATTATTAGTGAATCCACCTCGCATTCGAATTGTCGAGAAGAAAGATTCCAGCATATCCTGAAGCGTTTGTAAGTCAGAGATATTTATATTGGTATATAGATTGGAGGTCTTCAAAAAGAGAAAAAATATTTCGCAAGCAGATGATAAACCAACAAATCCACATTTCTTCGTCCCGATATTACAAGCTGCTCTCCATGTTTCAATCCTAATATATAATTTTCAATTTCTTTTGCACGTTTTTTCAATTTTTGCTTGTTCTCTTCGCATAACGGAATTCTTAAGGGCTGTCTATATATATATATTATTATTTATGCTTCTACAATTCAAAATATCAAATGCGTCATTAAAGATTTTGCAGAATTCAACTGTCCCTTGAATGTTGCAACCAGAAATAATATTTTGTTTTTCTAAAGCCATCAACGCTTTACTCCACAGAGTTGCTCAGAACCTGGCCTGCCAATCTAACATTCATTTTATTTTCAGAAGTATGAATGTGTCGTGCTGTCAATGTGTGTTGCATAATGAAGACCTGGGTCTTCCTGTATTTTGCATAGACCTAAATGTGTGCCCAGTCAACGGTTTGGTTCGTGCTGGCAGTAAACATTTTCATTTCCACAAGTGCATTGCGAGCATTTTTTCAACATGTGGCAGGAATCTGGAAATAACCACACACTGGTGACCAGTTGCTGGGAAAAGTTTTGCACCGGATATTCAATTTTCGTACGTGCTCCCAGTGAATGCACCATGGATCATTCACCTCGATCACCGTCATAGGTTATAGAATGAACCTTGACGTACTCATACAAGACCGTACTCATACAAGAGATTCGCATTATACGTACAAGGTTAGCGTGTTCACTCCATTCAATTTGGTAATAAGGAAATAAGCTGAGGTGGCCTCGAATTGCCCTTTCAAATCCACCATCATAAACACCAATGCTGGTTTGCTAAATCAGGAGACTCCCAGCAGAGAGGTTTCTTGGTGAATGGATCAACTCCAATATCTACTCGTATATAGCCAAAACGCACTTCCATGTTTTGTTACAGTATGCGCCTTGAGTGAAATTTCGTCAATTATGAAATAGCAAACAAGTGAAACACCTGTAGTTTCAGAATAAATTTTAAGTCTTTCCAGAATATTTCTATTGAATCCCGGAGTCGAGTCCAACACGTACAGCCACTGTCGAATTGACGATGGCGCAGGCAATAATTTTCGAATTTTTGCGAACGAAATCGTAGGCCCTACTCGAGTAAAACTGTAGGTCTTCGCAAATTTTCGAATTTCAGGCTCATACTCTTTCGTTTGCTTCGGAGGTTCTGCTATTCAAATTACCGAGTACATCAGGCATGTTGTCCTTAAAAAGAAAAGGTATAATTTAAATGAGTGTACCAAAAAATTTTATTTATTTACTTAATTTCCACACATACATTCTTCGTTTAACGTTATTTATGTCATTCGGTGCTTCGGATGTGTTTCAACATGTCTGTTTTGGGTATTATATTGCCTAGGGTTTTGGATATTAATTCTATTTTGTTTAAGTTCAGTGCTTTAATGGACGATCAATGAACTTAATTGGCGATATTATTATTACAGACTTATGGTTAGTATTTTAATGAGTTAATCATTAACCTTATTAGATTAATTTGTGAATAAAGCTAAGAACTTTGACAGCATTTTATTCTGCATTTGCTTGTGATTTCATATTCGTTTTTGTGCCACGCTATTAATTTAATTTTAAACTTTTGTTTGTCTTATTATGATTATTGAGTACGTACTTTGTTGCTCTTCGATATTGTTTCAATTTCGGATGAGGTTATGACTAATACATGTTAAATATATTTTAACAACTTTTTGTGGGCATTTCATGTTTTCTTTCTTCTTGATACTATTTAAAATCATATAAGGTTGTTAGGAAGTAGTTTTTTCGTTGTTTACTACAGACGATTTAATTGTATTTATTTTTGAAACTAACATCACACTTTAGCCCTATATTATTATATGATTTGAAACTTATTAAGGTTGTATTAAACTATGTAAAAAATGCTGATCTGTAAAAAACTTACAATCAGCCAGGATGAAATTGACTGATATGTATAGAAAGATGTTTCCTGTACAACAGTGCCAAGACTGATTGTTAAATTTCGATCAGGAATATTTGATGTTGAAGGTGCATCACGTTCATAAAGAACTGTTGATGTTGATAAAGATGTGTGAAGGCATTTATTGATGGAGACCAGCAATAGCGAAATTTATCAAATTCAATTGTTCAATTTCATTCAATGACCACTCGAAAGGTAAAGGTATTTTTTTAAAACTCAATGTATGAGTTTCCCATAGAGAGAAACCTGTGTTGCTTTATTGAAGTCTGCGAATCACTTATGTGAAAATGATTGGTTTTTGAAGAAAATTACAACTAGAAATGAAATTGAGTTGTATACAATGTATCTCATGCAATTGCTCATGAAACAAAAAAGAAGAACTTTCTCAAACCAGTTGCAAGCCAATATTCACCAGAAACAGGTGATGCTGTGTGTTTGGTGAGATTTTAAAAGACATATCTGTTTTCAGTTATTTCAATAACAACCAAAAAATTATGATCCTGGAATTGCACTATTCCCAGAAATTTGAATGAAGATGTCTGAGTTAAACGGCCAATATATAATCTAATAAAATATTTATTACATAAAAATTATTCATCAAAAAATCTATTAAAAACGAAATTACTTTTCAAACATCTGATTATTTTTATTTCTTTATATAAATATTATAATCATTTTTATTTTAGGTGTCG